ATTTTATTTTATAGAATTTGAAAAACTTTTAAAAATCATCTGTCTTTTTCACAACAGGTTGATTCCATTCATTTATGTTTATCACCGCCTACGATGAATTGTAATGATGAAGATATTACAAATGAATTAATACTGTGCACTGTTTCATGGCAATGCAATACAAAATCAGATTATCATTCTTATGTCAGTGAGCGTAAAACTACTATTAGTCATAAACATCATCATCATCATCATCATACAAAGAAACAACCTGATATAATACACGATAATTTAAATACCATTCATGATAGTAATAATAATAGCAATAATTGTGGTTTATGGTGCAAAGAGATTGTTCTTTCATTACCAGAATATCGATTACAGAAAACTCCACTTAAAATTGAATACAATGGATTGATAATTAGTCATGATTTTCCTAACCTGCCACCGGATTGGGATATTATTGGAAGTCGAATTCGAACAGAGTAAGTTTTTATTTTGTCACACCTCACCTTACCTCACGGACTCCCGTCTCCAGCGGTAATGCCACTTAAAGAGCAGAGTTAACATGTCATTTTACCACAAAAAGGCCTTGCGTGACCGGCCTCAAGCAGTCGTCGTTTGGGGTCTGCACTGATACTCCCAGGTCGCTCAGACCAACGCTAAACCGATTTCCTTTTCCGGTTCCTCAAGAAGTACTCTTCAAAGTGTAGGTAACGGGGTAGTGACAATCGCCCTCACACCCGTAACATAACACGGGACCAAATCGGTCACAATCGAATCCTTTCTATACCTAATAACTCTTATCTGCTCAACCAACCCTTGTTTCGTTCCTTTATCACCTCGCGACGCCTATCCAAACGTTTCAAGCTCACGAAACGTTATTCCTGGTCTCTTCAAACTCCGGTCTAAACTACATATTGCGGCTTTAAATGTTCGCACCTTGTGTCAAATAGAAAACAAGCTTCACTATTTAAGGCTTTGGAATCCCGTGCCATCGATATGTGTTGCATATTTGATTTCACCTTGTCCAAATACAGAACCAACTCGGTTCTGACAGATTGAACTGTGAGATTATAATGCATGGTGGTCGGGCTTTAGCGGTTAGACTGGTTGTCATTTTAGGTAGAATTTGGGAACTGAGCATATTCACATCTGACTGATCTCAATCACTGATTGTCCCAATTTATATGAAAGGACAAACGTCTTCTAGTGACAATTACTGAGGAATCAGTCTAACTAATATAGTGTCTAAAATATTAATCTCGATTATACTTCGATGCCCAACTAGAGCTCATGAAGAGCAGACTAGAGGAAACTAGGCGGGTTTTAGATCTGGACGTGGATGTATAGACCGAATATTCACTCTTAGTCAGGTCCTGGAACACAGACGCATTTCGGCGTCCAACAATAGTTATCTTCCTAGAATTTAAGGCGGTATTTGACTCTGTCGATCGTGAGGATCCATGGCAGTGTCTGTCATTGAAAGGTGGAACCTGAACTAGTGATAGGGAGTGAGGTAGTCGGGAGTGTCGACCGCTTCACTTATCTCGAGAGTCTCATCAGTGCAAATGACCTGGTGATTAACGAAATCTCAGAACGGATACAGAAGGCTCAATTGGCTTCTGCCAACCCTCGTCACTTATGGTGCTGGCTAGATATCCGTTTGCTAAACTGCGCAGATCACTCCGTCCTACTATATGGATACGAAACATGGCCGCTAAAGTGTAAAAGATATCCTTAGGTTATTAGTATTCGAACACCGATATGTTCGAAGCATTGCTCGTGTATACCAACACAATTGAGTAAACAATGCTGTTGTTAGGAAACGAGTACCAAATAAGAATGGCAGATCAATAGATGTAGTAAAATTTAATCAGTTGAAGTGGTTGGTACATGTGTTACGAATGCTCAACCACCGACTGCCTCGGTGAGCTATGTTTTGTGGTGAAGCAGTAGGTTGGCAGAAAGCTAGGGGTGGCCAAACCAAAACATGGCAGAAATCCATGAAGTTACTGATAAGTGGACTGAGTCATGTTGGCAGATGTAGGCTAGGTGTTAGGGGTCCGCGAGGCGAAAGTCACCAATGGTTAGAGACATTGAACGACTTGTCTCAAAATCGTTTGCAATGGCGTATGTGTTCTCTCAAATCCTAATCTTCTGGATTCGTCAACACCTCTACCTTTGTCTTTCTAAACTTATCTCACTGAATTATGGTTCTTTAATTTTATCTTACAATCCTAATCTTCTCCAGTAGCAGTAATTCTTCTACTATCTCTACCACTATGGGATTTGAATTGACAATTGCATCTCTGCGCTAATGTGGTATGGCAACATGAATGCATGTACTAACATACGAAGTTCTACGCTGCAACTGACTGACTGAAGTTTATTCCTCTAGATTATAATTCTTGAGTAATATTTGCGATCCCTAATCTTTTTGATGGTCACTAATACTTTGGCTACCTCTACTACTACTATGTTGTTTAAATTGATAGTTGCTTCTGTGTTAATATGGTACGATTTTGCACTGACTGACTGTCTGACTGAGAAGCATAGGTAATATTGGTTGTTGTTTTTAGCATTATTTTTCTTTTTTTGTCTAGAATGCATCACCCACCTTCCGGTTTAGAAATCACTATACCAGAGAACGTTACTATACTGGCAAATGAAATTGCTCAAATTAACTTAACTATTCGTAATCCAACACCAAGTGACTGTACTAACGTCAAGTGAGTTTTATTTTCCATTGTATTCTCTTTTTTACTAAAGCTTTATTCAATAATTATCCCTAAGCATAATCGTAGATTATTGTTAATCATCATAAACCTACCCTTTTGATGTGGATGCTTATTTTTATGGTTCGAGTTCATTTATATTAGCCTACATTATGATTGATTCTTTAAAATAAAACTAACATCCTTAAATTAAGCGATTCGCTTGTCTCAATTAAACTTTACATGTAAAAGTAATTCAAAATAATGAACATATTAAATCTTATTCCTATCGTAAAGTGATTTCTCGGAATTTTTTTATGTCAACGGTTATGCGCTCAACCTTACAGTTAATAAATAAAAACATACTTAGTTTGTTATTTTGTCTGATGAAAGTTATACTTGTGCACTGTTGCAATCTTCAAAAAAACTTCCCTATATAGTTTTACTTACTTGAGGAACCTGAAAAAGAAGGTAGATAAGTGTCGGTTGTAGAGACCTGGGAGCGTGACCGCAAAGCCCGAAGGACAACTGCTTGAGGCCGGTCACGCACTGCCTTTTTATGAAATGTTTTTAGATCAGTAAGTTAGTTTTACTTACTAAAACAATCGGTAAAGGTGATTAGATTTATTTGTATTCTGTGTGAAATATCTCTTAATGAATTGCAACCTCAACTTTTTTTTCGAAATATCTGTACTTTGATTTGCTACATTTTGAACACAAAAAAATTTTTTTTGGTAGTTTAACTGTCCGTTTAATTCCAAAAGAAAAGAATCCAACAGAATTTCTTAGTCATGTTGATCCTGCTTCTGCTACTACTGTAACAACTACAACAAATTTAACTACTATGGAGAATTTTATCACAGTTGGCAATTCATCTGAATTAATATCTCAAATGTCAACAAAAATTGTGCATTCCTCCTCTCCACAAAAATCAAATGGTGTTTATTTTATGAAAAATTTGGATGATATTCCATCGAATCAACATAAATCTGTGACCATTTCATTATGTTGTTCACCTTCTTCGATAATTTCGCTGAACGATCAAACACTTTTGTGTCATTTAACTTTTTCTACTGAAATTTTACCATGTGAATATTCTGATTATTTATTATCATTATCGAATTCGTCAACAACAGAAGCATCATTAGTTTATAATGTGATCAATGAATCTGTGAAATCATCCAATCATTCAGTTTCAGATAGAACCAATCAAAATGCTATGATAATTCAATGTACTCAAAATATTGAAACGAATGTAACTGTTCTATCACCATTTGAATTAGACTGTAGATTACTTTCCTTAACAGTAAGTTGTATTTCTTTTTCATGTTTGAAATGAAATCCAATCCAGCCAAGTAGTCTACATCTACCAACGTGACCTCAGTCCACTGGTCAGCGACTTCATGGATTTGTACCATGATTTGGTCGCCACTAAAAATTCAGACGAAGATAATGTTGTCTGTAAAAGCATGTCTACGACAAAGTTAAACAAGAATAGGGAAAGTATACATCGCTGACGGATGCCACTTGAAGTAATCATTTCCCATGACAGTTTTCCATAAGCTCTCATTGGATCAGTGATGTCCGGTTAGCGAGCTTGTATAGGACTAATGTATTTCTCTGGTACCGACACTGCCATGGATCCTCACGATCGACAGAGTCAAATACCGCCTTAAATTCCAAGAAGATACCTATTTTCGGACGCCGAAATGTGTGTCTGTGTTCCAGGACCTGACTAAGAATGAATATTTGGTCTACGTCCAGGTAGAAAACCATCCTGGTTACATCGAGTCTGTTTTTGACGAGTTCTAGTTAGGCGTCGAAGTAAAATCAAGGCTAATATGTTAGACACTATATTAGTTAGACTAATTCCTCTGTATTTATCACTATTGGAGGTTTTTCCTTTCATATAAATTGAGATAATCAGTGATTGAGACCAGTCGGATGGGATTGCGCCCAGTTCCAGGATTCTACCTATGATCTCAATTAATCTTACTGCTAAAATTGGATCATTATCCTTAAAAGTCAACCTGCTTGAGCATTAAAGTCACAAGCACGTATTACTATATCAGAGCGCTTAATATTTTGATAAGTTTCGGTGAGGTTTCTGTGAAACTCATCTTTTATCTCGTCCGAGCTGTAGTCAGTGGGAGCGTAGGCAGAGACGACGAAGAGGCAACGGCGAATGTCCCTATCCTTCCGAGTCTGTACCGCGCCGTTTAGTCGGACAGCGCATAAGCGACTGGCTATCGGGATCCAGCCTAATATAGCGAGTTCTGCCCTTGGAGTCAATGCTGTTCCTACACTAGCGAGGTCACGGGAAGCAGCAGCAGGGCTTTTAGAAACACGAGCCGTAAACCGAGTCCATTCTGTATTTGGACAAGGTGAAATCAAACTAATCACTGTCCTTAGACCCTGTATGCGTATTTTGGAGACGCAGCATACATTGATGGAGTGAGGTTCCAAAGTCCTAGCTAATGAAGGCTGTTTCCCTATTTGACACAATGTCCAAACCGTTAAACCTCCAATATGGACACACTTTTGGACGTCTGACAATAGTTGTATTTTATGAAATGGTTATGTGAAGTAATATTGGCGCAGGATGTAGACATTTACAATTATTATTCATTTTTTATTGTCTAACTTCTATATGATTTCTTATTTTTATATAATAATGTAAATTATATAATGCTTTTCGATAAAGTACTTGATAACTTTATTTTTCTATGCATCTTTAAAAGAATGAACACGTTCACACTTCTTTTCTGAGCGCGAAATTGTAGAAAGTTGCTTTACAAGAAATGTTCAATTTAACAAAAATAATCAGCTGTTTAACATATTCACTACATTATTTATGTTGGTCCATTGATACTTGATCGACTGGATTATGAAGACGTCAGCATCTGAAGGGAAGCACGGTATACAGTGGACAGCTAGGACGCAGCTGGACGATCTGGACTTCGCAGATGGCTTGGCTCTTCTATCGCACACTCAACAACAAATGCAAGAGAAGACGACCAGTGTAGCCAGCAGCCTCTGCAGCAGTAGGTCTCAACATACATAAACGAAAAAGCAAAATTCTCCGATGCAACACAACATGCACCAACCAAATCACTCTTGATGGAGATGCCTTGGAGGACGTTAACACCTTTACATATCTGGGCAGCATCATCGACGAGAAAGGTGGATCCGATGCAGATGTGAGGGCGCGGATTGGCAATGCAAGGGCTGCATTTCTACAATTGAAAAATATCTGGAACTCCAAACAACTTTCAAACAAAACCAAAATCAGGATTTTCAATACAAATGTGAAGACAGTTCTACTGTATGGAGCGGAAACTTGGAGAACTACTAAAGCCATCATCCAGAGGATACAAGTGTTTATTAACAGTTGTCTACGCAAACTACTTCGAATTCGTTTGCCAGACACTATCAGCAACAACGTACTGTGGGAGAGAACAAACCAGATTCCAGTGGAGGAGGAAATCAGGAAGAAGCGGTGGAAGTGGATAGGACACACACAAGGCAAGCCCTCTTGGAACCCTCAAGGTAAAGGGAAAAGAGGAAGGCCAAGGAACACATCACGCCGATAAATAGAGAAAGATATGAGAAGAATGGACAAAAATTGGACAGAAGTGGAAAGGGAAGCCCTGGACAGAATTAGTTGGAGAAAACTGGTAGGTGGCCTATGCTGCATTGGGGGTAACAGGCGCAAGTAAGTAAGTATTGATACTTCACACTGCATTAAAGCAAAGTCGTAAAGTTCCATTCGCCTACTTCATCTCTAATTTTAAAATTTTGACATCGTTTGCTTACATAACTGATTTAGGAGTCAAGTTGAAGATATTTCATTCATCTAGATTTATACTCTAAAAATTGAATTAACAACTATTCAAAACATTTCTGGAATAATTATATCCGTCTTCCCCCTCTGCTTATCTCTTTTAGCAACATCCAATTAAAAGTGTTATAGTTAATGACGAATTTCTATTACTATTCAAGTTAACGAATACAGCCAATTGTGAATTAGAAATACAAGATATACAGTTAGAATTGGTAAGTTGATGTTTTTTATGTGTCTATATATATAGAAACAAACTTTTATGTACTACAGCTTCAAGTTCAGAGACTATTCAGTGTTCTGAAGCTTGTTTTTAATGTATATCGTTTGGTTAAGTGAGAGGTATATTTGCATTACGGGGTTGTAAAGATTGCTAAGTTACACATTTTTTTGAAACCATGAACCGATCAATGTTAGACCACCATTAGAATCCTGGAAGCACTGGACGCCCTGGTATGGGACTCCTGCACCTCGCAAGATTCGAACCCAGGACCTTCGGTATTGTAGGCGAACGCCTTACCATTGGACCACTGAGCCGGTATATAACGGTGTTAATGTGTTACTTGATCAATTCATGGAGTTGCGCTACCTCATACACAGTCTTCGGTAGTTACTGTCTACACCCGAACAGGTTGAACTTCACTGGTCACGCACTGCTGAGGAGTCCCATACCAGGACGAAACGGCTGTCCAGTGCTTCCAGGTTTATAACGGTGGTCTAACATTGATCGATTCATGGTTTCAAAAAAAGATGTATATTTGTCAATCTGTAGTGTCAAAAGTTAATATTGAAATATCGAACTATACATATATATATTATTGGTATACATAATTGGTTTCGTAGATCTCACTTACATCATTTGTATTTTAGGCTAACGAGATATCATGTACAAGTGATTTAGACAGTTCATGTATCAAAAATTGTAAGTTTAAATAACTCGTAATATGGATTTTGGTTTTTATATTATTCACTACAATTAATTCGCTTCATATTCATAGTTTACAAATTGCTTCTTCCATTTATTATTACTATTATTATTATGCAGTAGTTAAACATTTGATACTTAATATTTGAAACGTACGTTGTAATTTAAGTTCAGTGCTCATAATGTTCGAATTTTTTCCCAGAGGGTTTTCATCAATTTCCCCAAGCATCTTTCAGTGTTATTCATTATTACCTGGATACACTTCTCATTTCTACATTGACCAGAAAAACAGAGATTTTGAAAGTAACGATCCTCGAGATAGAATCAAATGGCATCTAGTCATTAGTTAATTTGTCATGATTAAAAAAAAGTTGGAGTCTACGTCAACTTGTTGTTATGTAACTAACTAGCATAGTAGTAGTACCTTACATAAAATGAATCCTGAAGACGTAGACACTGTTTTGAAAGATAACAATTCTTTTTTGTGTATTTTGAGCTATATGTATAGTTTTTGCATGTTTCTTGAGATTTATTTTAAATAATCAAAATACCAATCAATTGTCCCTGTCTTTTTGTTTAAAACTTTAAACGCTTTTTTTTTAATTATGTAGATAGGATAGATATGTTTAAGAAATAGATTGATAACCTTAAATGACTGAAACAATTACTTACTTTTATGTTTATTGCATTACGGGGTTGTGAAGATTGTTAAGTTACACATTTGAAATCATGAATCGGTCAAAGTTAGACCACCATTAGAAACTTGGAATCACTGGACGGCCGTTTGGTCCCAATATGGAACTCATCAGCAGTGCGCATCCACGACTCCTGCGCCCCGCAGGATTAAAACCCAGGGCTTCAGTCTTGCTCGAACGCCTAACCTCATGACCGCTGAGCCGGCATCTAACGGTATTAATATCTAACTTCGATCAATTCACTGAGTTACTGTCTTCGGTAGATACTGTCTACACCCGAACAGGTTGAACTTCACTCGTCACGACTTCCCACTTAAACTCGGAGAAAATTCCTCCTGGCTCTAGTCAATAGTGAGCACATGTAATTGCATTACGGGGCTTTGAAGTTTGTTCAGTCACACATTTGAAATCATGAATCGAAACCTGGAAACACTGGACGGCCGTTTCGTCCTGGTATGGAAGTCATCAGCAGTGCGCATCCATCTCTTGACTAAATATCACATAATATAATAATATTTTTGATATTCATTGATTTTCCAAATCATGTATCATTTTATTACTAATTTCCTATTTGTTTATCAATAATTTCTTGAAATTATGCTTTTTTTTGTTTGCCTTATTTGAATTCTAGTGATTATCCAATCTACAGAAAGTTGTACTGAATGTCACATGTTATTATTGACCGAAACAATGAACCCACTGGAAACAATAAATTTAGGCATCATTAATGTTCATTGGTCACGGTCAGTTGGTAATATAAATATACTCTTTTATGCTGTAGAAATGATAATAATAATCATAACAATAATAATAAATTTCGCTTTAAATTTTATATAATCAAACTATTCTATCTGAAAAATGCAAATGTGAAGAATTCAGGTAGTCTGTTACATCCAAGTGTATTTGGCTGTTCGGCTGCTCCTGTGTAGCCACTTATATAAGATGTACGATTCGACAGGTGCGTCATCGTATAATGGAACACCAACCATCTTGGTTAGGCAAAGGATAGTTAAGAGCTCTCTTCTCTCTTATGTGATATACAAAAAATAGCATGTTCACTCGAATAAAGTTTTTGTTATAATGCTGCTACATAGCTATTAAAATCCTACCGACATCCGAATTCAAATATTCCAATATGACCCAATACTATTCCCAAATCTCCTATATATCAGAACACAACGCCGTTAGACGAAGTTGTTTAATGGGTCGAGTACAGTAGAAACGAAGGCAGGAAGCAACAGAATACAAAGATTTACAGATACTGAGTATTTATACATGTAGGTCGAATAGGAAAGAGTATCGAAGTCTGTGACATTGACAGTTAAGACGACCAATAGGAAAGAACATTCGAAATGACATTGACGGTCAGCAGGACGACCAATAAGAAACAACATTGGAGTACGTGACATTGATATCTATGACGACCATAAAATTGACCAGTGGGAATTAACCAATAGAGATCGACCAATAATTCTCTTACGATATTGGATGATTATCTTAATAGTTTTAAGACGACCCTGCATATTCCATTATGTTCGAGTTCGTATTTTGCATATTTCTAAAACTATCGGAATTCCTGTTCACAAAACGAACCTCTGCATTCAAATGAAGTTTGTTCAACCACTCTCACCACTTTAATCATCAATATAAGAGTCAAGCAGAAAATCTAGTTTCTTTGGTGAAGGCGTTGATATGTAGTATGAACTAAAACATTAAAAACTAAATGAATAGAATTATACTTCCAAGTACCATTTGACTTGCTCAACTTCCAGTATCTCGACTACATCGCCAAAATATTATTTTTAAAAATTATGTGTGAAATAATCTTAGCGATCGAAATCAAACTTTTCGTCCTGCGAACCTTTCTGAAATACTTCAAAGTTCGATTATTTTAGGTTGTTCTCGTACCACTTTTTACCTAATGAAATTAAATATTCCAATAGTCGGATACAATTCATGACTCTTCATGTAGAGATTAAATGTTCAGTTCCCATAAGGTGTAGCTTCATATAATTCTATAAACGACGCACATTTTGATGCTAATTCTATTTTACCAAATAGAATATTGTCTTCTGTCTATTGTTGCTTATTTTAATCAATACTTTCCTGTCAATTTAATGAAAAATGTGTACATTCCTTGTTCTTGAAATATTCTTCTTGTAATTGAATTTCAAATAAAATAAATCCGTTTCATGTGTTCGACCTGTTCACTCTAGTTTATGCATATTTATACGCTACACCAATCAGACTTATGCTAAATGGTATGTGAGAAAATTAGTTAGTGTGCTAACTGACTTGCGCCTGTTACTCCTAATGAGTCATTCTCCAACCTACTCTGTCCTCGACTCTTCTATCCAGTCATTCTCATTTGCTATCCATTCTTTCCATGTGTGTCTCCAATTCTCGGTGCTGTCTGTGCGTCGGTCTACCTCTTTTCTTTTGGCCGGCAGGATCTCCTGTGTATTTAGCTTGTGTCTGGGCTTCCTCTGCTGTGATTCGGCTGTTATCGATTGCTGTTTCCTTGTTATTCCTTTGTTGAATCTGTCCAGAGTATCACCAGAGATATATTCCTTGTGATGGTGGTTTTTCTGACCCGAAACCTCATGACTTGCTGAAGTTATAGCTTGTTTGATCCCTTTCTAGTTCTTGTCCGTGATAGTTCCCTTTTTTATTGAGTAGACCGTAATAGGTCTGGAATTCATTGTTGAGAGCTATTTTGAAATCGTTGAGTTTGTCAATATACCGAAGAAAGGCCGTATTACACTATTGTGATAATGTTCACCGGGTTATCCAGTGTTTCTTGAGTGTGAGTTTCATCTTGTCTAATAGCAAGTAGTGATATGAGGCCATATCAACTCTTCTCAGTACACAATCATAAACCTACCAGACTGAAATAAAATTATGTGTTTGTTTTCCATGACCCTTTCTACATAATCTACTTCTTTTATATATATTTATGTACATACGTATATAACATTCACCTATTTATATAGAATTTTTCTATTTATCTTTCCGTAGTGTATCAACATGCAACGATGACAATGAAAAACCTCATATTGCAACGACAAAATTCACCTTACCAACTATTCCAGTTTTATCGTTACCTATTCAAATTAGCGCAGAACTTCCAGCTTATGGTGTTATGCTTACTCCATTCCCGGTTACATTTCATTTAATTAATAAAACTATTTATCCACAGGTATTTAAAAAATTAAATTATAAAATTTATTCGGTGTCTCATTTATTACTGTGGTTCATTTGAAACAAAATAAATTGGCCAGTATATCTAACAGTATCAGCTAGTATACGTATTCAGTTGTGATGCTTAATTGAATCTACATCTATCTCAATATAGATTGATTTGAAGGGATTTCGATAAACAGTTATAAGATGTTAACCTTTGTAAATTAAGGAATAATTTTTTTCGATATGACTATTACACAGAACTTTCTTAATTCACACATGGCTGTTGACCAAGGAGTTTGAAGTTTGGTGTCAACTTTACTCTAATTTCAAAGCATCCAATTCATAGGTTCATATTTACTCTCTTATCTTTTACAGACTAATTGTACATAAACACATATTTGTTTTGTAAATTAAACTGAGGATTTCTTCATCACCAATGTTGTTCAGTTTCTTGTGTTTAGTGTTCAGTAAATGTGTTCAAACATCGAAAAAATGTCATTTTTACCCCTGTTGTTTGGTTGATAAAACTGATCACAACTGTCTGATAGATAAAATCGCTTATAAGAAATAATCTAACTGATCCGACGAAGATAGTTTTGTTGTTAGTACTGCTGATCTCGTATGAATATGTATATAATTTCTTTTATATTCGTCTCTAAGAAAAGCCATATTTAAACACAGGCTACTTGTATAAAATAAGTAGTGAAAACACAAACTTTAAAAATACAGATAGTTTCTGTTTTACCACTCATTATGATTAATTTTATTGAACTGCCTTAAAACAGGATTCCAATATGATTTTATGAGTGATTTCAATAAAAATACAAACATCGTATCTAGTTTCATATTTTTGGTGATATTATATACTATGTGTACTTTTCAACTGTGTTAAGCAAATTTACTTTTACTGTTAATGAGGCAACAACAAATCGGTCAGTTTGAGTTTTGTTTAGTTTTGTCTCAACATTGGAAAAAAATTATAATTTCGCTTCACATGTATATGAAGACTGCACTTATGTTTACTTTGATGGTAGATAAGGCCTCTTGCTCAAGTGCGCGATTTTAGTGGAACTTCATTCTCTAAGCCAGACGGCTTAAGCGTTATATGTTCAGTATTCTCCTGAAAACTGTCAGAATAAACTTCAGGTAAATATGATGGAATATCACATATGATTTAGAGCTTATCCTGTTGATTTTGAATACCTCATTTCTACCTGATGTTCACACGTACAACGATCTAGCTCAGAAGACGGAACTCCACTAAAATAAACTTGTGACATTTCCTTAATAGAGGACATTATTAAAATTCTAATGCAATCTACTTAAAATCATAAAAATGATTTTCAAAATATAACCATATTGGTGAATCGGATTGTCCGATTGGCTATAGGTATTCGTTAAATTCATTAATCAGTTCAAAAGATATATCGGACGAAAATTTGAATTCTAACCAATCTATACTTTGAAATAATTTTATTCAACAACTAAAGAAAAACCACTTATAGGACACTGAATTTCTGAAACTTTTTATTCCATAGCTTATCCTACCTAATCACCAGTATCATCTTGATTTATGTATTACAACAGTATTTATAAGGCGAACAACTAAATAGTTCGTTTTCATTATTATCTCTATCTTTCTCTTTCTAACTGTATCTCACTGAATTATACCCTGATCTTCTCAATTACTGCTAATACTTCTACTATCGTTACCACTATTGGATTTGAACTGACAGTTGCTTCTCTGCGCTTATGTGTTATGGCAATATGAACTGATGTACGTACGTACGAAGTTCTGCGCTGTATCTATCGTCTTGATTATTTCCTTTACGATCCCTCTATGATATGACTGTTCGTATATTTTATCATCTTGGTAATGTACAACACAGAAAAACATAATCATATATATATTACATTTATGTTTCCTTCTTTCGAACTAATATTCTGATCGATCATAATTGACTTAAAATTATTTTTTAAAGATACACGTTAGTTTTGTTGTGACATCTCGTCGCTGTGTTGATTTACAATTTAGTACCAACATGTATCATCATTCCTTAATTAATTTATATTTGTTGTATTTTAATTTATTTTTTTCTATGGATTTCTTACTCTTTATACTCATTAAATTAGGAGGCTGTTTTCCAGTTAGAATCAATTCATGGTTTCATGTTTTCTGGTCAACAAAAGCTGAAGTTACGATTACTTCCTGATTCACCTCATTGCTTGCATTATACCTTTCTGCCATTGGTATCTGGAAATTTGAAATTGCCTCGGTAATTTGCATATATTACTACTTTTAAAGTTTTTCATATGTATACATTCATAGTTATGTTCGTTATCCTTATTGAAGTGTATCAGTTTGTTCCATGAAACATTTTTTATTGCTTCCTTGTGATGCCATTTCAATATTACATCACACAACTCGCCGGTACAATATCAAACTTTCTGGTAGGACATGTAGATTAGATTCATATCGTCATAAAATACTTTCAATTGATTTGACTACGATAAATAAATAGGATATTTTTGTAGCTTATTTTGTCTGAAACAGATATAAATTTACAAGTTTCTAGAAGCGAAATTAGAACTTGTTAAGTAATTTCAAAATTGAAGCTCTACTTCTGTACACAGAGTCATTTCATCAACTTTAAACGACATCTGTTTTTTGGGCATATCCAGCTGCCCGAATACGGTTACATTTCATCACAGTTAAATCACTGATCTCTTTTAGCTAAAATAAATTGACTTAATCACGTATGATTAGTGGATCCAGATGTTGTACACAGATATTCTTCACCAAACGGTCTAAAATATCTAAAAGGGTTTATTGTAGATAAGTAATCAAAGTTTCTATATACTGCAATGTATACGTGATGTATATTATGTAGTTGGATAAGACGTACTTGAAAAACCATGGATTCGAGTTTCACTCTCTCAACCATCGACAAGGCATATCTGTGGTTTTAAGCACTCATCATTAGAATCCAAACAGATCTCACATACATTACCACAGTCACATTCAAGTCGCAAATGACTTCTCGTAGAATTAAGAAACATTTTTACTCATTGACAGTAGTAGGTAACGTATATCAGGTTGTTTAGTCTTCAGTCCTCTTCTGAGTTTACATTCCCCGAAAAGTGTCAATCAAAAACAGCATATCTAACCGTATGATTTTAAGGTGCTTAGTTTACTGTTATTTTAGATATTTGTTTCAAGATAATTTTATGCTTTACTTCATTCCATTTTTGTATGATGTTTCACCACGATTAAAATTGAACAGTATTGATTCATCAAATAGCAAACTATAATTCATTATTTTACGCTAAATCACCGTAGCATCGTTTCGTTATGCTGTGTCCAGTGTCGATCAGGGTGCATTTGTACACTAAGATTATAGATCTTATTTCATACCGAAATCCGTACATGATAAATAAGTTACAGATTTTGAGTTACGTATACCGTTAGGTAATCCCCAAGTGAATACAAAGAAATTGTCACGTGTCCATTGATTTCAAACAGATGTCGTCGTGTGAATGCAAATCGCCTTCCAACTATGTTGATTGTCCACAAATTACACTATAAATCGTTTCTTTAAATTCTAGTTTGTATTTGACTAAAGTGATATTTATTATTGGTATTTCTTTTTATAAACAGTTTACACGTTATATTAGAACGTTATGCTGCTTTATCACCAAACATGCCAACTGATCAACCTGATATACACTTACAATTAGAAGAAAATCTCCTACGACAAATTCCAACACATTTGATAATAATTGTAAGTTGTGAACATGTATATCTGTTGGTATGTGTAATTATTTATTTATTATTTTCATAGTTTCTCAGCGTGGTTTTATTGATGATTCAGTGTTGTAAGAAATTTTTACAATCAAAAAATAAAGTTACAGAGATGTGATAATATATTTTAAAAGCGTACTTAATTAGGTTATACACTCCATTTACTTTTGTTTTGAATTGTTGTAGTTATTTCTGCCTTAAACTAATTTCCAAATATATGCTTCATTCGATGAATTTGTCTTGAACATCTAATAAAAAATGTTTCTCCACGTATTTCGATATAGGTCACACTCCGTGTTTCAGTGCTAGTTATGAACCAAGGTACGTGGTGTGGAGCTTAGACTTTTGAAACTTAGTTTCTGAAAGTCAGACTCACTAACCACTAAACCACCACCCTGCGGAACAGCCATAAATACTTGAGGCTTGCTACCAACATTCAGTTATATATGTCAGGAAAAGGGTACTAGGCAAAGATGGCAGATTGATTGATAAAGTAATGACTCTTCACTATTTGAGGTGGTTGAGACATTTGTTACGTATGCTCAACCACCGGCTGTTGGAAGAAAGCTATGGACGGTCAAGTCGAAACGTGCTACTAGCCTATGATGTCACTAACAACAGGACTGAGCCATGTCACTAGGTGTCGACTACGTATTCGTGGTTGGCCAGATGATAGTAACCGATAGTTAGCGACTTTGCATGATATGGCTCAAAATCGTTTGCAATGGCGCGTGTGCATCCATTCTTTGTCTTCTCCCAAATTCTAATCTTCTGAATTCCTCATCACCTGTTTTCTCTTTTGAAATTTATTCCGTTGGGTCTTACTTCCCAAATCATATCTTCCAACCCTAATCTTCTCTGTTACTGCTAATACTTCTTCTACTACTATTGTATTTCAATTCACAATGGCATCTGTGTGTGCTAATGTGGTATGGCAGCCTGAGGTGATGTATGTACGTACCAAATTCTACGTTGTAACTGTGACTTGATATGCATGTTTTAAAACAGTGGCTAATACCCATAGTTCTGCGGTTTTCGTCACATCTCCACCATATTTTGTTACCTAATATTCTTGATTTAAGATATTTTCAATAAACGAGAACATATTATTCTCATGATGTGAGTCAGTCTTTTAAATAAGTTAGTTTGATGCTAGCGTAAAGGCTACCAGACAAGTAATAAGAAAAAGATTGGTAGAGTTTTAATTGTCATTTAACTAATGAAAGCAGTTGGTATTAGGTTAGATTTATCACTCCATAACCATGACTCCACTTTTTCCTAAGTAGTTCTCCATTCTAGCCTTATATTGAATTGTTGTCAATACACATGCTATAGTGATATACACTATAGAACATATCCAAGCATGTTGCATATGGTTGTATGTATATATGACTAACTGATGTACAAATAACCCTATTAAGTACATTTTCTCTATTTATTTATATTTCCTAATATCTGATCTGTTATTCTCGTTTATTTACATTGAAAAGCCGTCAACAGAAGGATTGTTTGAAGCATCTGAGAAAAATGGACTATTCAATCGGGAAGGAATTAAAAATGTGTAATACGATATATATATATTTCTGAAATTATTCTCTCAAAACCATCATATCGAAAATTTTAATTTTTTTTTTTCTTATAAATACACTGATTTCATTTATTTTTTATTTCTTAACTTTCTATTGGCTGTATTTTTCGTTGGCGTTTTAATTATTAATGTAAAAAAACATCTAATACTGCAATTTCTGCTTTTGAATAATGAAATCTCCATCAGTTTCGATTGACTACCTTTTTTGTATTCATTACAATTAAACATACATCAGACTTTGTATTTGAATTACTGTAACGTAATTCTCTTTTTTCTTTTCTTACAATGATACAAATTGATGTTTTAAAAGAAAAGCCACTCGTTTATTGCTTGATTTCATCAGTAGCTGTTATCAACTTTTCCCCCTAGTCTTTGAATTAACTTCTTATTCAACATGGTATTGTAATCCCAAACTACGAGTAAGCCCCATATTTCTGGCTTCAAATTCATTAAAATGTACTTCTTTGTCGATAATGTTGTACTTTTTTCTAATGTTTTATGTTCTCTGATGTAAGTAGAGGTGTGTGTGTGTGTGAAACTCATGTTTATCTCCATAGTCTGTATGAATTATTGTTCATAATAAACTTGAAAATCTGTTTGACTTCATGAATTCCACTGTCACATTTATAACATGTAAGTAGTGTGTTTATAAATTTCACTCCATATTTTTTATAGCTGACTTGCTCAGTCATTGGAATTAACGAAACGAATAATTTTCGTGTAGTCAGTTATATATGTATATTCATCCCTGAACTGATAAAGCTATCTGAGTCGCTTTTTCGTTATAAGTCAAAGTATCCAAATGCAATCTTGTGTCAATAGCGAATTTTCGATATCTAGTTGTGATAATAACTTTTTCCAAAACTTACGAAGCAGGTAAAACAACTGGATCATAGAGTGATGCAATTGAAAGGAAAGGCAAAGTTCTAAAAATAATTTTACAAAATATTAAATCTCGAGGAGTAGTTTATCCTTCTTAGATTACTGTTCACTACTTTGGTTTCAATTTTTTCAGGGTACATTTTCATTCGAATTGTTCCACTGTTTTATTCATCGATTAATTAGGAAATGTGTATTAAAGAAGTTTCATTCGTGTCAATTATATACTCCCACGTTGTATCAAGTAGTTTCATCATATCATGATTTGAATGAAGTCAGCATGTGTAGAGCACCGAAATCAGACTCCCTGATTTGATCGTATTGTACTCACCACTTGGCTCCGATCTCGCTGCCTTTCATCAACACGAGACAAGTGTTATTCGACAATAATTCAAGTATACATTACTTCTTTAATTCTGGGTAATATTTCTTCGATTCAAACTGATTCACAAGAAACTGCCTAATGAATAGTTCCACCGTAATTAAACAAGCAGAACTTTGCTCATGATTTAGTACATATGTTTTTTACACATTTAAAATCATCAATCAATCATTGTTAGACCACCATTAGATACGTACTGCTGATGAGTCCCATACTAGGACGAAACGGCCGTCCAGTGCTTCCAGGTTTCTAGTGGTGGTCTAACAATAACTGATTGATGATTTCAAATGTGTAAAAACACAAACATCCCAAACTCTGCCCGAAAATATGATTTATTAACTTCCTATTTATGAAGTTCTAACCACTGGGTTCGTGTTTTTTAGTTTACACTAATTTATTGTTAGAAATTCAAAATTTATAGGTACTTCAGTATAAGAGTACCGTTTACAACTCATGAAAGATTACGAAGTTTACTTAGCAGTTAAATCACTAAATATCCAGGAAACATTAGGGAACGTACATTAATTACAAACTAAAGTATCTGAAAAGTGTATGTTAAATGCTGTAAGTATAAAGATATTCATTTACATTCCGATCAGTACATGTTGATGCCCCGTCACGTGTTGATTCAGGTGTGTTGCTAATATTATATACATTTTATATATATATATATATATATATATATATATATCCCGTGTTTATTGATCCATAGTAATCACCTGATATCCCTAAAACCTGAAATACCAGTGAATATAAATGTAAAGGTGCTAAGCAGGAATTTAGACGACCATACTATTTTTAACACTATATATATATATATATATATATATATATATATATATATATATATATACAGATTAACTTAATCTTGTAAATAAAATGGATTTTATAAATATTTGTGTTGTTCAAGTTTAGCTGATTTTAATGATGTACTTTGTTTCGTATCGAAACTTGACCAATAATCCCATACAAATCATGGTTTCCTTGATTGATTGGCTTATATTCAGTAAATTAAAATAAATCTATTTGATCATTGCTGCGTTGAATCTGTACTAGTTTGAATAAAGGTATTGTTTACAAATAATCCCGTCAATAACTTAGCTTGTACAAAATTTCAGTTGTACTCTCTCTCTTCATAAACTTAATGAACTACTCTAAGACACACAAGTAGTTTAGATATTTTTATTTCAATTTTTCACTCACACTACAACCGATGTTGATTATAGTGTATCAGATCTGCATGTAATTTAGTACACCTCATCCCACTGCAAATAGGTAGGACAATCAGTTTATGTGAATATAGACCGTCCTCTTAGTTTGAATTAAATATATTTGTTCCCGGTTTTTCTTGCGCCTCTGTATGTTTTTATTTGAAAAATACGCCTGTACATTGCTAATCTTTCAAATTATTAGAGTCTTTGTACTTGATTTTGTTACTTGGTTGATAAATATCTCATTTGAAAGTATTTGGTGCAGATATACTTTTTATTTTATTTTGGTAATAAAATCTCGCTAAACAACATTCAATAAACTATCATTATATCAGAGGTGTTGTAATTCTGAAATACTCTACGCCATAACTTGTTTATTCATTATGTGTACATTTGAAGCTGAGTATTTATAAGAAAATAACCAAAAGGTTACTAAACTATTGTACTTTATTTAAAAAGTGTAAATTGCTCAATATTATACATCTTATATGTGTTTTTTACTCTCAATTAGTATTGCAAAGAGTGGCACTGTAAAATGCACTAAGTAAGATGTTCCAATGAAAATGTATTCTAGTAGACACTTTTTAGACTCACTTGAAGTCCTAGAACCGATCCCTAGCAATTCCATCAGTGCCTACTGTTAATGCGTCCCATACTCAGACAACATTCTGTTTAATACTTCTAGATTTTTATTGGTGTCCTAAATGAAATCAATGTATAATGAATACCTTTTCAAGACTGAAGTAATCTCCGCATAGCTTTTCGTCCAAAACTATTGAATAAAATGGGATTTAAAATAATAAAAGAATAGTGTCTGAAATGTATTGAAGTTAAAATATCGTACAACATGTATTAGTCAAACTTGAGCAGGTTCATTCAAGTTAATTGTACTATTGGAAAAAATCAGTTGGTAACGCAAACCTTTGTCCACCAATCTTAGAATCGATTTTATAATTTATGAATCAGTAGTGTCCTGATCTGATATACTTCTGAAAAATTAGGTGACAGTAAGATATGATCAAAAAATCTAATGCCTGAAAACATATATATATATATATATATATATATATATATATATATATATATATATATATATATATATATATATATATATATTGAATTAATACGTTACTGTAACATTCAAAGCATTTCGTTTTTTTGTAATAATTAAGCAATAATAATGTCCATAAAAGTATTACCTCATGTTACTTATATATGACTAGTAACTGAATTACCAATCACAATAATCTTCCATTTTGAATGTGTGGTGCCATCACCAATAATATCAACCATAGACTAACTAGATTGATCTATTGAAAATTGTATTTAAGTTCTCTTTCTTTTTTCATTAATCCTCGCAGTAATTTGTTACAAACGACATACATTTTTCTTCCAGTTCACTACCTATAATGAGTTTCACACAAATCAACATTTATAATTTCTATAATACTTAGAGTTTTCTCACATTTTCAAGGAAATAAACAGTTTAGTAAATAAAGTTCTTTGAAAGCCAATAAGACAGATTGTTTTATTTTCTTCTTCTCTAAATAATGGGTTAACTTTCTGCAAATGTTTTAAAACTCAAAAAAAAATAAAGAAATCAACTGAGATATGAATTATAAGGTTGCAAAAAATAGCTGGATTTCATGTAAATCCTAAACCAATACCAATGTAAACTTAGAATCACTGGACGGCCATTTCGCTCTAGCACTGGACTCCTTAGTAATGAGCCTGCATAACCGCTCTTTCGGCAATCGAACACAGGACCTCAGATCCTGTACGTGACCATTGAACTGGTCTAGATGTTCTCAGTTAGCTAATGCATAAACTATTCCATATGTCATGTACTTTATTTGGTTGCGAAAAAATTAATCAAAAACATAATTAATATTTTTTTATGCTGACAAAGTGCAGAGTCTTCTGACTACTCTAAGCAATTATGCAAGCATGTTCGGGATGCGGTTTTCCTCCTCAAAATGCAAAATACTGCTTCAAGATTGGGTTTCATCTGTACCTGAACTAGTGATATGGAGTGAAGTAGTCGAACGTGTAGACCGCTTCACTTATCTCGGTAGTCTCGTCAGTGCTGATGGCCTGGTGTGTGATGAAATCTCAGCACGGATACAGATCGCTCGATTAGCTTTTGCCAACTTGCGTCACCTAAGGCGCAGCCAGGTAAGCAATGAAATAGTTAGGAAACGAGTACTAGGTAGGGATGGGATCAGTAGATGAAGTAATGAGATTGGGACATGTGTTACGTATCCCCAATCACAGACTGCCTCCTATGTGGTGTAGGAATAGGTTGGAAGAAAGCTAGGGGCGGCCAGACCAAAACATGGCACAAATCCATAATGTTATTGACAAGTGGACTGAATCATGTTGACAGATGTAGACTACCTGGTTGGGGTCCGCGAGACGAAAGTCACCAGTGGCTAGAGACATTGAACGACTTGTCTCAGAATCGATTGCAATGGCGCGTGTGCATCCACTCTTTGTGTTCTTTTT